ACATTCTCAGTGATAAGACAGATGAATGACCGATCGTCCGGCCATTTGAATAACTGTTTTTAAGAAATCAACATTCTTTCTGAAAATAGCAGCAAAACAGTACAATGGCGAACGTTCGCAAGACAGATGCTGTTTCTAAATTCTGAAAAAGGTGAAATCAGATTATGTTCAAGGAAATTTTCATATCTAATGGTTATTGCTTGCTCTAAAACAGCTCTACCTTCATAATAATCAACGCCTCTAGTATTTATCAGTTTCAATTTTAGCTTTTGTTTTTCACGTCTTTCTAAATTTATGAAATTATTTTTTAAAAGCATTTAAATAAGAAAAAAGACACAAGTGCACATAATTTTGTTTCTTAAAACATAAAAGATAATACTGCTTAAAAAATAAATTTTACTAGTCATTATAAGGAATGCTGAACACCAAAAATCTTTTTTTTTTTTTTTTTTTTTTTTTTTAAAAAAAAAAAGGTAAGAAATCTTATTACGTTGTGTGAGTTGCATCCTGACATTGAAGTTTCGGCGAAAATACCTGTTTTCTAAGAAAAAAATGGCCGATCATTGGGCTCAGTTATTCTCATAGCATCCATATTTTCCACTTCAAGAATTAAAGTATTTTAAATGAAATTTGTACTTTAGTGTGAATTTGAAAAAATCCAAAATTTTAAAATTAATTTTGTGAGCACATAATAATTATGACATAAAATTATACCGTATTTGTACGCAGTACGTTTTTCAAATTAATGTAGTCATTCAAAAAAATCTCAAACTATTAAAAATGTCAGAATCTGCATGAAATGTACTTAAGATTGAACAAGATTTGGGACTCGTGAAACGTATTCATTTCAATAAGGTTTTTATATTAACCAACATATATATAAAACCATATATATTTAAATCTATGATACCAGATTTGCTTATGACGGAAATTCATTTTTCCGAATATGAAAACGTGAACGAACGTTGAACGTGTTCCAACTACAATATTATAAATAGTTACATCCTCAGATACACATTCGACTTTTGTAATGAGCAGAAGAAATAATAAAGTTTTCTGGTTACGTTGTGGCTTAACGACAAATCTTGACTCTTTTTTAAGCTGTTCTTAGCTTACCTCTAGAAACATTTATAAGTTTTACAAGTAAACTTACATAAAATGTTCTCAGTACTTTTGTGCTACACATTTAAAAAAATCGAGATTAAAAGTATTTTTTTCACATTAAAGGAGACATGATTTACTGATTTCGTAAAATGCCAGAACAGCCAGATGAATTAAAAAAACTATTTTGATTGTCACAAAGAGAATATAAATTTCCATTTAAAGGAAATTTCTGGAAATAAAAAGTGACGTTTCACGTACATTCAAATACGATTAATTTGCATCAGGAGATATATTTACACGTACGTTGTTGTTTTGAGTTATATTATTGTTGGAAAATGTGAAAGGTATTCTTCCCGAAATATATCCCGACTGAACATATAAATATTATAAATATTCTAATGGCTTGAAAACTAAGATTATGATATTTATTAAAATAATATTTTCAAAATAGAAAGAAGAAGTGTTAAACTTGAAAAACTTTGTCTTTCTCATAACTGCCCCATCAACTAACCCAAGTTTATTTTGATAGCGTAATCTCCGCAATTCTTTCTCAAGTTTAAGATGATATGCTGTATAGAATTATAAAGAAGATAATGAAAAAGTTTGGAAGACTAGTTTAAGACTACTGCAGTTTCTCAAACCTAGTAATTTTGCTTTTAACTAAGTTTCCCCTACAGGTCGACCCGAAAATTTCTCAACTCTTTCCCTTCTGATGCAAAGCGCAAAGCATTCCAAGAGCATTCCTTGGAGGAAAAATCCACGTTAATGACTTTCCTTCATTCTATACGAAAGATTTCGGTCTGCAAAAGAACAACAAACAAATGAAAGAAAATCCGAAAACGAACAACTTACAAAGCGAAAAAGAGAAAAAAATGAAATAATTACATCTTCGTAAGCTGAAGCTCGCTTTGCAAAAGGAGAAATAAAAAACAAATAAATAAAATAAAATAAAAAAATTATAAATAAAAACAAAAAAATGAGAAGAAATAATAACAACAAAATTAAAGGAAAAAAATTGAAAAAAAAAAAATAGTTTTGGAAAGCATCCTTGTAGTGTACGCCAAAGTTAGATGTGCCCAGGGAAAGCCCATTAATCTTCCGAGAAGCTGTCACATACATACTGATGAGCTTGCAGGCCTTAAGAGAAGGTTATGCTTTGAATATTCTTCCACGGGAGTTGCTAATTAATATTCGTGCTGTGTAGAGCAGATAGGCTCTCTTCGGGTTCGTATCTCCTTTACTTAACGTGTGCATAATAAAAGAGAAGCATCATTTTCGCCCAAGCATTGTTGGTTTCTGATCTGGTATGCAGATCTCAGGGCTGTCGCATCTCAAGCTCCCCCTTTTCGTATTAAAGCGGCGTTCATTGACAAAATGGATCTGCCAGAATTGCAGCAGTGTTTGATTAAAACAATGAATACAGTGTGTGTCCTCTCCACTTTTACTGTTAAAATCAACCAGATGTTAAGTTAAATGCATTTTTATTACAGAATACTACACCTTCGTTAATTTGCTGTTAATAAAATACATTGTTAATTTTTAAAACTATCTGACTAATGTTATTGATGAAATATAATTTCTGTTTAAAATTTAAGAAATACTGTGTTCTTTTAATTGTGAATATTATTGAAACAAAGAAGAATTGCAGAGAAAAGGAAAAACAAAATATGAGAACAGTCTGAGGTAATTTTTTTATCATATGAGATAGAAATAATCGAATAAATGAATTTACATACCTTTAAACGTTATATATTTTTTTTAAAAATGTTGCGAAAGTTTTACTTCTAAAGTGTTCAAAAATCGTTTTTAATGATTAAAAGAAACGCTGAAATTAATTCCTATAGCAAGGAACAGTAAAAGTTAGAGGATCTGACTTTCAAGCTGTGATGTTAAGAATATTAATACATTTGCAAATTCGTTAAGACAAAATCAACGGGTTATTTCTCTTCAAAACAAAGATTACAAAAATGGGAAAATAAAATACGTGATATTAACACTCTTTATTAACTGATTTCAGTGGTTTAAATTTTTTACAAAGTTGTAGCATTCAGGTGTCGAGCAAAACATTTTTCACATTTTTGCAATTAACCTCGAGTATAAAACTTAATGAAATTCAGCTCGATGCGCACCTCGAAAAGCACCGTTTTTATTTGAAGTATGATTGCATTCTCCCTTAAAAACTTTTATGGGAAGAAACGAGACTCAGTTTGCTTGAAACTATCAACAATGCAGATTATTATCTTCAAATGATTTATCACTATTATTTTTTATGAAGGAGAGACTGTTTTGATTTTGTAAACATTATTTGAAAATATAATTTAAAAACATTATGAACAAGATTATCAGCTTTTGAAGTTTTATTTTATCGACGAAGTGTCAATAAGATTTTCTCAGTTATAGATTACGTGGCACACTCAGGGCGTGAACGTATCATGGCGACCCCTGCCTCAAGACGAGCCATCAAACAGTGACCGTCAAATATGTATTAAGATGATCGCCAAATATCTAAGTTGCTTATCACATTAAAATATTTTATGTTTTAATCAAATCAATCAACATATTTACATATGTATACGTATATATATATATATGCGTACATTAATTTTTTGCATTTCCAATTCTATTGCATTTCTATTAGAACAGTAAGCTATTTGTATAGAAAACAATAGTTGATTATTTCTGAATCATTAATTTTACCCTCCCTCGAGGTGTTGTAATTTATCACTGAGGCTTATATTCGGCGGTTAAGATACAGCACTCTTTAAATGATTCATCACACTGCTGACTGCTTATGCTAATTTTTCCAGTCCCCCCTTGCAGATCTGGTAACATATAACGTATCATTGTTCAAGCACGGCTAAGTCAGTTCATTTATATTTTTGATGTTATAACCATTTATTTTAGTAAATGAGATTTTTATTTTACTCTTCGTAAATCTTAAGGATGAAAGTCAGATTAAGACGCCTCTGTAACCTTAAACTAAGATGTCTCCAAAACAAAACATAAAAATATTGAATTTAGAAACATAGATTATAAAAGTTATTGAAAACGATACTGTGGCCAATCGCAAAGAAAGCTGACAGAAAATTGCGACATATGATTAGTAATAATTAGACGGCGGATTTAGTATTTTGCCGTCAAAAAATGTTTTACGAAAAGAAGCGACAGAGAAAATCGAGCAGGCAGATTTCATTGAATGAATATTTTTATAAGCACAGAAAGATTTAAGAACTGCTAAACAAAACACTTTTTAAAAGTCTCCCTTCTTTTAGCTGCTTTATTCCCTACTTATATATGCAACTTATTAACAATTTATTTATTTTTTAAATTTTTAATCTCATCATAAACTGATACATCATATGCGGTATACTGATAAGTGTTGTTCTGCTTTAGTTCCTTTATTTAACAGACTACGACAGCCTTGAAAATCAACATAAAATATCTATGTAAATATAAAAATATATATATTAAAAAGATCATCTACACAGAAGACGACTAGAACCGAGGGTGCTCTTACATAAAATTTTACACATAGAACTGTTACACATCTGGTTTCAACACAATTATATACAATTTTTGTTAAGCAGTTATGACAATTTATTTAACTCAACCGATATGAACATCCTGAATCTTTACAAAATGGAATTGATAGCGTAGGAAAATAACAAACTATACTTTAAGTACAATTCGCTGAAAAGAAAACCAAGATTTGAATGAAAAATTTCTTCGTTTTAAACTGAAATACTGAACTAAAATTCTTATATATTTATTCTTCTTAAAAAGATTTTTCATTCACAATTATTTATCCCCGGTTTCTCCTTAGAGGATGATTTTCCTCGCTCCCCTCAATTTCACTTTTAATGTCAATTTATTTGTTTCCTTTTTCTTTCTTTTAGGTGATGAAGAACAAGAAGATTTGTAGTGTTTATAGTTTGGTGATTTCCGCCTCTGTAAGTATTGACGATGTTAAATATTTTTAACTGATAATATTACAATAACGTGAAAAGCTCTTCACATTTCTATATCTAAATTGAAAACCATTGATGTCAGAATTTGTATTTGTACAAAAATATAGTTTAATAAAGCAATATCAACAAAGAAAAACTCGATTGAATTTTAACGTACTTTGAGAATGGCACATGACAAAATATATACATGGATGCAATTTAAGTTCTCATTCATAATTTAAACAACGTCTGACATTTGTTTTTCCATCTCCATATTATATTTTCATAGTTTCATTAAGCGTTCCTCTTTCAGATACTAGTAAGACGCAGTCAATTTTCAATTAATTTTACTTTTATGAAGTTCATAACAAGTTACTCAAATTTACAAGTTTTACATTAAATGAAATACTTAAAAAATATCAAAAGATTTTTTTCATAGCATCTAATATAAATCAAAATATAAGATAGAATTTCAGCTTACCTTGGTTGCACAACAGAAAAATGTTCATCCATTCAGTGCATTCTAATCGAGTATTCAAATATATATCCTGACACGTCATAACATAAAATTACGTTAAAATTCGAAATTCATTATAAACATTGAAATTCATGATCATATTACACCCAAATACTTCTCACAGGGGAATGTCCTGATTAAAGTATTTAAAGTAAGTCAAAAAACACGTTCAGATTTAAACTTGATGTTTTAGGTTTCCTCCATCACATTTCGAAATGTTGTTCTTTCCTTATCACAGTTTGAATGAACTTTTTCATTAAATGAAATCCGACCCTTAACATGCTCTTAAATTACAGTAGCACTCACATCTGGAAAATAAGTAATTGTAATCGCACTAAGACCTCAACAGAGTATCTCAGAAAGATCTGGGATTTTTAACATAATTACAGATTACTTTCAAGGGTTTTACTTTCGAGCTCCTGCAGAGTTCAGCATTTTTGCTCCTGTTTTTTTCCCTCTTGGAACTCCAATTTATTCTACATTCTCTCTTTGGGGTCTTATTTCAAAATAAAACCTCATGTTGGCCCAGTAGGATTTCTTGGTGTTAATTACAGCAACCAAATCTAACTCCAAGACTCTTCGAATTACGCTGCAGGTTCCATTTGTTGAGTGGGCGGTAATGGACGTTAGTAAGATCATCCAGTCTTCTAAATCGGTCCCTGGAGTCCCATTTGGGGTCTCACTGGAGTCCAGTCCCACCCCCTGTGCGACACGTGACCCCAAGTTCAATGATTTGTATATGTCTGATGAATGGATCTATAGTAAGTAAGGACTTCATTGTGACCACTCTTTTCCAGTTTTCTCCGCAGGGACTTCAATGGTTCCTTCCACGGCTCAAGACCTTGGCAGATTTCCACTGAAATTCAGAGATCATCACTTTCCAGCAAACATTCGTTTAATTTTGTTATAAGAATGACCATTCTGATTTTCCTTGTTGTATATTATAGTAGATTTATCAAATGGAACATTAGTTTGATGTCCAGGCGTGAAGAGTTTGCTTCTTCTGTTTTCAGGATTGTACAGGTTATGGTTGAAAGCACAGATAATTTTAATGCTTTAATACTTTACTAATCTGAAAAGGTTTTTATTCTCGGTAATAAGTTAGTTTTCATAAACAAAAACAAAAAATCTGAAACCTTTCAGATTTTACATTACGCCCAAAAGTTCTTTTTTTAACGTTTTGTATGTTACCTTTACTTATTAAATATCATATTCTTATTCTTCGCAATTAAACCATAAAATTCAACTCAACAGCAATATCGCAAAATAATTTTAAAATGAGCATATCTTCAGAGTTTCCGATACACACTCTCGCGAGCTGGAGATTATTATTATTTTTTTTTTCCCCGTACAGTGTTGTAATTGCTTACTTTGAATCGTTGAGTTTCTTAATCGAAAATTCTTTAATGTCTGACAAAATATGAAATCGATAATAAAATAAATTCCAAATTAGGGCTTCCAGATGCCCATATTCGGTGGAAAATTACGGTATTCAAAATTTGATGGCTCTAGGTATCGTTGTTTTATCACAATGCGAGAAACATACATATATTTATGCAGATTCTTCATTATTTAATTTCTTTAAATATAACACAGGGCGATAATATTCGGTGGCAACAATTTGAAAAGCGAAATGGACATCTAAAATTTTCGACGCAAAATGCCGAAACGAAATTATAGCCTTCTGGGATAACGCCCTTATGGCTAACAATAGTCAAAACAAAAACATTTTTTAATTTTTACACCATAAATTGCTCAAATAGGAAATATTGCACATTTAGAAACTTTAAGGGAATGTGAGCGTATTAGTTAAATATTTAGACATTCAATTCGAGCAAGTTGTTTATCCTTGCATGTAAACAGTTTTATGAAGTAAACATGCATTTAGAATTTTTTTTTTTTTTTTTTTTTAATAGAACTTGTACTTGGTACTTTCTGTTAAGTAAGTTATTTCTTTAAAACGCACACCCCCAATGGTTTAGTACCTTTTTTATTTTATTTATTTATTTATTTATTTATTTATTTTCAGAATTATCACATTACACAATTCTATGGCTGAAAGTCAAATGCCTTGTATTTGACCATTTAATTTAAAAAGTTACTCGTTTTTAGCATTTTGATAATGTAGAAGTGCTAATGTTATCTTTTGAAAAAAATCTTAATTTAAAATTTAAAATGCTGCTGTAATCTAATCTCTGAAAGTTTCTGCTCATATAAACATACTTATGAAAAACAGAATGAAAGATATTTGCAGATGATGAGTGGAATTTTGTTAGGCGGTCATTTGATTACTTAGTTCATGTAGCTGCAAAAATTACGCATATGTGTAACATACTTTTACACATAAGAATAATTAATTCTTTACTTCAATTTAACTATCGTTTAAAAACTAACGAAAACATTTCGAACAGCATTTTTAAAACCAAGCAAACCAGCAAAAATAGTACAAAATATGTATATTCTGTCATGAGTGGCTTAACCCACCCGATCGACAGTAACATCAAATCAGGTCTCTGATATCAGAGCAAGCTCACGAAATTCATCATGGCAAGGGGTCAAGATTGCGTCTGTCATTGGCAAGAACCTTGGACACCATACATGTGATAGTACGACTTCGTTCATTTCCGCCCCCCCCCCAATTTTGAAGGAGAGCATCCCCGGGGCGGGAGACAGGTTCAAGGATCTCAAATTCCTCTTACCCTACCACCTTCCTCTCGAGAGGATTTTCGGCTCGCCGCATATTTAGAGTGCCCCTGTTCCGCACAGACACTATACATTTACAAATATCCATGCCGTCTCGATGATTCGAATCCGGGGCCTTCGGGACAGTAGATACGCATTCTTGATTCAATAATAATAGGAAAGTTAAAAATCGGGACTTAGTTTATAAACAACAATCTGTAAATTGCTATATAATAAAATTAGAAGTTTTTCTTTTCTTACCTATGCATTTGGAATTCATTCGGATTGTTTAATTATGACAAAGAGTGAATGGGTAGACTGCCTAATTTACATCTCACTTGTGTTCGAGGAGGCATCCACTGGGGTATCAGTTATCAAATTCTTGTTGTGTCTTTTGGATAGGCAGAGATTAAGTTGATATACTACAAAGATATTACAGGCATGCAAGTGTCTTTCCCTCACCGAGGTTACGAATAATCGCCATAAAACTAGGCGGCTCTCTGAAACTCAAATTGAAAATCAATTTTAATTTACATCTTTTTAATAGGATTTTATGAACTACGTATCAAAATATTCATGGATGCCAATGCAAAAATTATAGGTTTTAAATTATATTTATTCGAAGTATAAGCCATTGCCAATGTATAAAAACATAACTTTGCTTACATACAATTTCATATTCAAAAACAAATATGAATCCTCTGCTTTTTCAGCTTTATACTTCTCTTACAACTCTCGCAATTAATCAATTAATCCTTACAAATTTCTTTTTAATTCACGTATCTTTACAATTGAATTATTACTGCTCATCACATGTAGAACAAACATTTAATATTGAATCATTTTTGTCTAATATGGGAGATGAACATAAAATCTTTATGTCGTGATTCTCATTTTTTAATTCTTTATGAAAAAGCTCAAGCCCAAACCTAAAATGTGTTTCTCTCTGTCAAAAGCGAGGGCCAACCGAGCGGTCAAGTCGTTGAACACTGGTAGTTCGGGCGGAGATTCAAATCCCACAAACAGACTGGCTGCATGGGCGTTTTCGTGAATTTTCCCATGTGTGACGTGTATATGAGCCAGTTTCCCTTGGAAAGTTCTCCACAAAGGCATCCCCTCCCTTAGGCAGATAGCCCTTGAAGCTTTACCGTAACCACATAAACCAAAGCAAACCTGTAAGAAGTTAAAACAACGGAACATATGAAAATCGAAATTATGCTCGATTTATTGTTTTCTTGTTTAACTAATAACAGAATTACTATGCTTTGCACAAAGACTTTCACGAAATATTTGCAGTTTAATAAGTACATGCATTACATTAGTCCTGCCGAATTACGATTCGAAAGTAAATTTCTATTTGGGAAAAAAAAAATACACTTTGCTAATTTAAAAAGAGCATCATATCAATGAAGTTAAAATATGATAAGAAGATTTTACACCAAATATTTTCAACATTAAAATGCGCACCGTACAGGGAAGAGGAGGTATGTAAAAAAGAACGAATATATTTAAAGCTACAGTTAATTCTACTTTTTTTCTTCTTCCCCCAGAAAAACTTAAATTCTTTTAAAACCTCAAACTACATCTTTTCATTTTCATTTTGAAATAAAATTACTTTTCATTTGAACGTGTGTAATCAAACGATCAGACCCACTACTGAGCAATGCTTTTTGACAAAAGGCCACCTTCATGCCCGATGTGCTGGAAGAATAAAAAGCGCTTTAGAGTATTGTTTCTAGATTCATAGGCATAAACAAAGACTTCAGTGAATGCAACCGCCGCTGAAGAACAGCATGTCAGATAA